GCTTACTACAGAATGGAAGATTTAAGAAATTAGATTATAATGTTATATACACAAATAACATTCTCATTAAAAAGCAAAAAGGGGTTGCCATAGAAAGGAAGATTTAAGAAATTAGACTTTAATGTTATGTACATATAACAATCGAATTAAATAGAAGAAATGGTTACCGTAGAAAGGAAGATTTAATAAATTAAATTTAATGTTACGTATACAAAAAACAATAGAATTAAATTAAAAAAAGGGGGTTACCACAAAAAGAAAGATTTAAGAAATTAGACTAACAAAATATTTTGGGTTAAAGTTATGTACACTAATAATGTGAAAAGAATATTATATTATTGAAGTAGTTTATTGTTTAACCATCATTGATGTGAAATAAAAATAGCTAAGTGACTTTTGATTTCAAAATAAAGTTAAATGACTATGAAAGATTTTTGTGTTACAAGATAAAGTGAAGTAATTTTTTGAAACATAAACTATTAGTTGAGTGTCGTTTGAGAAATTAACTTTTCTTATGCGAGACATGTAAACTTCTCTTTTAAATAAAATTTGTGCTCTGATATGCTTATACTCACAAAATTTAGAATAAAACACCAAACAATGCTTCTTATTTCAAGAATAATTTTCAAAAGTTTTGAATTTTATTTTAATATTAACTTTTACCATGACCAAGCAAACTTTTGAGTTTTAAAGGAATAAAAGTAGATGCATGAATAATGGAAAATATTTGTTCCTATTGTTTTGGATAAATCGATGGGTGCAAAATAATAGAAATTCCTTTATGAAGCATGTAAAATAATTAAGCTAATTAAACTTTTAAACCCCCTGAATAAAACAAACCAAAAGGCGCCAGCAGCTTTATATAGTAACTAATAATTTAAATGTTGAAATTTTGACTAATCTATCTTTGATTTAAAAGTTCTATTTGGGTCATTGCTTAATTAAGAGAACTGTTTGTACTTTATTTTGAATATTCTTACGTGTGTAAGGTATTAATATTGTGATATAATTGAGACATTTCTTGAAAAAGCAAAGTCATAATTCTGTATTATACAAATATATATAAGTTGAAGTTGACCAAGTTATGATAACCGATTTATCGTATCGCAAAATCGAAACTTTAAAATATCAAACCTTCGGTATGGTAATAGAATAGTATTTTTAAAAATCGAAATTACTGAACCTAACTTTTCAATACCATACCATGCCCACCCTAGCTCACATCATAGATATAGCTTTATTTCTTAATCAAACCTTAAAAGCAAGTGACACGTTCAACTATATGATTCTGAACCGCCTAGCCATCCAAATGTAGGATATAGCCACACACCTGCCTCATCAACATGTTAGTATGGGCCGTAATACCAAACACTTGTTAAGATCAAATATTTATTATCGTGCTAGAACCTACAATAACTTTATTTTTTAACTAAATTTATCAAGCAAGCGTCATGTTAAACCATGACACCGACCTTAACTATCCCTCGCCCATCACCTATGCCTCACCATAACAAAACTCATGGTTTCGATGCCAATATATATAGTCTCATAGGCAAACAAAGGGAACAAAACCATCAAAAAGAGATCATAGACAACTTCATAAAGAAACTTTATTTCTTGGTCATCACTTTGCTCATCAATGATAAATATAAAATAATTAAATTAATTGATGGATCTAAGTAGGACCACGTAGATATCATTCAAGTTAGAAATTAAAAAACTCAATTATAGTCACAATTCCTCTAATTATTTATACCAAAAAAATTCAACTCTGTTTTAATTCTTCTTTGAAATATATACCAGCACGTTACCATCATCTCAAACACAAATAAAATTGTTATAAGTTTTGTAATATGGAATTTGAGCAACACATAAACATAAGAGGCCAAAACATGAAGAAGTACAATAATCTTAAAACTAGTTCACATGAAGATCACTTTGGTATAAGAGTTGATAATTCATTTCATTCAAGAGAAAATGGTATTTCTAAGAGTGATTCTCCTGAAAAGAAACTTTCATGGTTACATTCTCAGGTTATTGGTGCAAATGTTGATTTCGAGACGCCATTTGGAAGACGTAGGATGACTTATGCTGATCATACTGCATCTGGAAGATGTCTCCATTATATCGAAAACTATATCATTAATAATGTCCTTCCTTTCTATGGTATATGTTCGTTTACCTTAATTTTATAGTAACTACGTAGTACTCCTTCATCCTTAACCAGAGGGAAAAGATAATAATAACGACTATTGTATTGTTTTGTGCAGGTAATAGTCATACTAGTGGTAGTCATGTGGGATATCAAACAACAAAAATAGTGCATGAAGCAGCTGGTTATGTGAAGAAATGCTTAGGTGGAGGAGAAGAAGATGTAATTATATTTTGTGGTTCTGGTTCTACTGCTGCTATTAAAAGGCTACAAGAAATTATGGGGATTTCAGTCTCTTCTATACTAAGAGAAAAAGTACTCACAAGATGCTTTTGTAACGAAACCAAAGAGAGATGGGTTGTGTTTGTTGGACCTTATGAACATCACTCTAACATTCTTTCTTGGAGACAGAGTTTAGCTGAGGTTGTGGAGATTGGATTGGACGAAAACGGGCTAGTAGGCATGGAAGCCTTGAGGGATCAGCTTGAGTTCTATAAGTCTATGAATAGACCATTGTTAGGTTCATTCTCAGCTTGTAGTAATGTTACTGGGACTTATTCTGATACAAGAGCCATCGCGCGTCTTCTTCACAAAAATGGAGCTTTTGCTTGCTTTGACTTTGCAGCAAGGTATTGCTATAAGAATTGTTATATTATGTCATGTCACGAAAAGACGACTAATTTTAGGTGTTGTGTTGCAGTGGTCCATACACGAAAATAGAGATGAGATCAGGAGAGATAGATGGATATGATGCTGTTTTTATTAGTCCTCATAAGTTTCTTGGAGGTCCAGGCACACCTGGAATTCTTCTAATCAACAAAGCACTCTATAGATTGAGGACTTCACCTCCATCTACTTGTGGTGGTGGTACTGTTGATTTTGTCAACCCCTACAATGAAAAGGTATGTATATACTAATTAAGTTGCGCGGACTCTTCATCTTTTGTTTAGCTCTCATGATAATTCTGAAGCTAAAAGAATCATGATATGTAATAAAATAACCAGGACACACTTTATGTGGAGAATATTGAAGAAAGGGAAGATGCAGGAACACCACCAATCATTCAGAAAGTGAGAACAGCACTTGCATTTTGGGTGAAAGAGTTCATAAGTCATAAAGTAATTGAAAGAATGGAACACACTTACATTGAACTTGCACTACAAAGGCTTCTCCCAAATCCTAACATATGGATTTTAGGAAATGTAACAGCCAAGAGACAAGCTGTGCTTTCTTTTCTCATAAATACCACAACTTACTCTTCATCAACTGATAGCAATGGTGAGGAAAGCGCGTTTTACTTATGGGGAGAAACAGGAAAATACAAAAGAGATAAACCTCTTCATGGTCCTTTTGTCGCTAAGCTGCTTAATGACCTGTTTGGTATTCAGGCTAGAGGTGGATGTGCTTGTGCAGGACCCTATGGACATAGCTTGCTCAATGTTGATGAACCTCATTCTCTTGCTTTCAGAGATGCAATTCAAATGGTGAGTTTGATTCACTAAGTTTTTGACATTCCATTTCTTGATGTGTTTTGGGTGCAAATATTTCGGTAACAAGTTTATGCTAAACTGATCTTAAAAACAGCTCCCTCAACCCCTACCTCCTAATGGTACTTTTAGCATTCAAGAACTTGTCCTGTTCACAATGTTTTACCTCAAGTAACGGTACTATTACATCATTTTACATAAGTTATCATTGACTTGACAGGGCTATAGTGGAGTTAAGCCGGGATGGACAAGGGTCAGCTTCCCCTATTACATGTCCAAGGAAGAATTTGTGTTCATTCTAGCAGCAATAGAATTCATATCCATTTATGGACAAAGGTTCCTCCCTTTGTATCATTTCAATTGGAGGAGTGGCGCGTGGACTTTCAAGAAAAAAGCTTTCAATTGCAACTTTTGCTGTTCACAAATGACGAACATATTGAATATAAGTTGCCATAACACTAAAGAAAACAACCATGGTGGAGGTCTTGTTTACAAGTATGTAAAGTACATTGAGACAGCCAAGCGTATCGCTAATCTCCTTCCCATGTTCCCACCTCAACGACCGATACCTGAAGAAATAGACCCAAATCTTGTACCCTTTAGAGTCTGAAGAGCATTAGCTTGCTCTGATCCTTACCAATATGATCATACACTTAGCCAATGCCTGGTTGGTAAATTCAAAGTTGACATGTAATAAACTAAAAGTAGAAGAAACACAATATTGAACATGACATACTTGTAAAGGAAAATCAAAATACTGGTTCTGAACCTCTCATCATATGAGTTATTGGTTTATCACAGCTTTAACAATGTGTTTCAGATCAACAGACTATATTTGGTTGTAGCCTTGGGTTATACACTCTTTCTTAAGGCAGATGTTTTTCTCCTTGATAGTCAAAATGAACATTATGTTAAAAGTCAATAACTGGACAGCACTCCATGAGAGGTGACAGATATCCCGCGGAATTAGTTGAGTTGCATGTAAGCTGATCAGGACAACATGGTTATCAAAACAAATAAAAAATAATACAACTGGCTATGTTGCATTCGGTGATCAAACCTTTTGCATACTTGCTCATTTCATCCAAAACCTTTGTACATAACATAGAGCTAGAACTTCCCATGCCAATTAAATTTGATCCGTGAAATTTATTTGTTGCTCGTTGTATCTCATGATAAGAAATCAATTGATATGTCCTGATATCTGGAACCTTTTCAACATCTTCAAACTATCATTTCTTCTTTTGTTTCATTATCCAAGTTGAGACAAACAAGCATATCAGAAAGAATGAAGTAACCATCGGAGTAACAATATTTAGCATACACTCCTTAAACTTCTCAAGTTTGGAAGCATTTGTTATGAACGATGGAATTTCCCCTTCGAGCTGATTGACTCCCAAGTAAAGTCCTTCAAGCAAGAATAGAACCTATTAATCGATTAATTCATTATATAGCACCATGAAAACAGGATCCAGCCAATTTTGACCCGTCTATTTATTAAGTCAGTGCAAGTTATCAAGTTGATATGGTCCCTTAACATGTCTAGGGAGTTGCTGAAAATTGTCGAATTGTCAAGTTTCTGAAGCTAGCGTAGCCAAACAGTCTGTTAATTAGACTGTTACGTAATACGTAATATCCTTCTTGATCAAGAAATGAGAGAGTAAAACACGTATCGATCAACAACAAATGAGAAATCAAAAAATACTTCGTTAATGTTTTTCTTAAAGAAAATACAAATACATACTGAACAAGTAAAACAAAACAAGTGGAATACTACTTTTAAGTTATTACATATCAAACTTGAACATTGCCCAACAAGACATTGGACAAAGTTTATTTTCATATACATATTTTTATCAGACTCTGAAGGACACAAGATTAGTGTCTAATTCTTCAGGTATTGGCCTTGGATGTGGGAACTTAGGAAGAAGGCTAGCAATGCTCTTGGCTGTTTCAAGATACTTTACATACTTATAAATAATGCCTTGTTTGTTACTATTGGTGCATGATCCTTCTTTTGTGTTATCATGGCAAGTATTACCACCACCTAAGTTCAACTCCTTCATCATTGGTGAGCCACAAAAGTTGCAATTGTGATCCCTTCCACCCATAAGAGCTTCCTTCAAAGCTTTCTTTTTGAAAGTCCAAGCACCACTCTTCCAATTGAAATTGTATAAAGGAAGGAACCTTTGTCCATAAATGGATATGAATTCTAGTGCTGCTAGAATGAACTCAAATTCTTCCTTGGACATGTAGTAGGGAAAGCTTATCCTTGTCCATCCCGGTTTCACTCCAGTATAACCCTGTCATGTCAAAAACAACTATCAGATCACCTAAAAGATAATTATATACTACATAAAGGTAAATCCTTTATTTATGGAAACTCACCATTTCAATTGCATCTTTGAATGCAAGAGAGTGAGGTTCATCCACCTTAAGCAAGGTATGTCCATAGGGTCCTGCACAAGCACACCCTCCTCTAGCTTGAATACCAAAGAGGTCATTAAGAAGCTTAGCCACAAAAGGACCATGAAGAGGTTTATCTTTCTTGTTCCCTGTCTCTCTCCATAAGTAAAGTTCATTGTCTCCACCATTGCCATCACTTGACGAAGAGTAAGTTGTAGTATAAATGAGAAAAGAAAGCACAGCTTGTCTCTTGGCTGTTACATTTCCTAAAATCCATATGTTAGGATTTGGGAGAAGCCTTTGTAGTGCAAGCTCAATGTAGGTGTGTTCCATTCTTTCAATAACTTTATGACTTATGAACTCTTTCACCCAAAATGCAAGTGCTGTTCTCACTTTCTGAATGATTGGTGGTGTTCCTGCATCCTCCCTTTCTTCAATATTCTCCACATAGAGTGTGTCCTGGTAATTTTATTGTATATCAAACAGTCTTTTTTAGCTTCAGAATTATCATGACAGCAAAGCAGAAGATTAAAAAAAATTGAACACACAAGGATAGAAACTTCACATAAACAGTTGAATTTCTCTACTACAGCTTAATTTCTTCTCCAATATTTATTTAAATATGATGTATTTATCCTTTCGATAGTCTATTGGAAACAACCTCTCTGTTTTGCAAAGATAAGGTATATCGTACTCTTCTCAGGGTCCACTTATGGGACTAGACTGGTAATGGAAGAAGAGAGCATGCACTTATAATTCAATTTACAGTTGGTTGTTGAAATGTCATGCCATGGTGCCCACTAAATCTAGAAGTCAAATAAAAAAAAATATTTTGTTCAAGTACAAGAATTTTGCCTGTCTGAAATTCTTTGTTTGACTTATTTAGTCTTCTTATCAACTATCCCAAATATGTGTTTGCTTTTTAAGATGGAAAATGACAGTCAAATTCCATCAAACTCTTTGGACAAATTGTGCAAACTACAATATTTCACAATTGACACAAATAAAGTAAGGTGAAAAGGACATCAAGATCAATAAGAATGAAAAGGACAACACAAAAACTTTCATCATATAATAAGATTAAACTATACCAAATATATAAAATTTAAATTTAAAATTCTTTACCTTTTCATTGTAGGGATTGACAAAATCAACAGTACCACCCCACAAGTAGATGGAGGTGAAGTCCCCAATCTATAGAGTGCTTTGTTGATTAGAAGAATTCCAGGTGTGCCTGGACCTCCAAGAAACTTATGAGGACTAATAAAACAGCATCATATCCATCTATCTCTCCTGATCTCATCTCTATTTTCGCGTATGGAGCGCTACAACATCACAACATGTGAAAAAATTAGTTCTCTTATAAGTAGTGTCAGACAGACTGTCTGTATATAGAAGTTAAACTCAATTATAGCATACCTTGCTGCAAAGTCAAAGCAAGCAAAAGCTCCATTTTTATGAAGTAGACGAGCGATGGCTCTCGTATCAGAATAAGTCCCAGTAACATTACTACAAGCTGAGAACGAACCCAACAATGGTCTATTCGTAGACTTATAGAACTCAAGCTGATCCCTCAATGTTTCCATGTCTACTAGCCCGTTATCGTCCAATCCAATCTCCACAACCTCAGCTAAACTCTGTCTCCATGAAAGAATGTTAGAGTGATGTTCATAAGGTCCAACAAACACAACCCATCTCTCTTTAGTTTCGTTACGAAAGCATTTTGTGAGTACTTTTTCTCTTAGTATAGAAGAGACTGAAATCCCCATAACTTCTTGTAGCCTTTTAATAGCAGCAGTAGAACCAGAACCACAAAATATAATAGCATCTTCTTCTCCTCCACCTAAGCATTTCTTCACATAAGCTGCTGATTCATGCACTATTTTTGTTGTTTGATATCCCACATGACTATCACTAGTATGACTATTACCTGCACAAAATAATACAATAGTCGTTATTATTATTATCTTTTTCCTCTGGTTAAGGATGAAGGAGTACTATGTAGTTACTACTATAAAATTAAGGTAAACGAACATACCATAGAAAGGAAGGACATTATTGATGATATAATTTTCGATATATTGAAGTGATCTTCCTGATGCAGTATGATCAGCATAAGTAAGCCTACGTTTTCCAAAAGGCGTCTCAAAATCAACATTTTCACCAATAATCTGAGAACGTAACCATGAAAGTTTCTTTTCAGCGGATTCAGTTTTGGAAATAGCTTTTTCCCTGACATGAAATGATTCAATTCTACTTCTCAAATCTTCATGTGAAGCAACTGAGGAAGCAATACTACTAATAGAACTACTATGATTATATTTCTTAGTGTTGTTGTTGTGGTGTTCTCTTATGTTTTCTCTCAATATTAGCTGCTCAAATTCCATTTTGATTCAAAAGTAAAGACAATAAGGAAAGCTTAGAAACTTAGATGAGAAAGTTGAAAGAAAAGAATATTTGTGTTAATTAAGTGTGGTTGAGAGGATGAAAGTAAGGGCTATTTATAGGACAAATTTGGTTGAGATGAATATATAAATAAATAGAGGGATAATATTGAAAGGAACTTGCTACACAACAACCCAACAAAGTTCACACCATAGCTAGATCAGATCTCGAGTTCGAGCCCTAGGTATAGAGTATTGTCACCCTAGAATGAATCCTGCAGTGTGCGATTCGAATTTAGTCGGAGCTCCAATAGACATCGGATGAAAATAAAAAAATAAGCTCACAGCATAAATAAATATATTACTATTTTTACAAATTTTATTTAGTATAATATATATCATACACTTATTATATACTTACGATAGATTGAGTATACACCATATTGACTTGGTATTTTCAATAACACACAAATGGAATTAAATATACTACTATGTTTATCTAATAATACGTGTCAACTTGCTGAAATGGAATGAAACATTATAACTTCCATTCCAACTTCGTATCATGTCTTAATAAATTTTAATTTAAAATGTAAAATGAATTAATATAAACTAATTATCATCTAATTCACTTTAAATATTTTGAATTGTCAATTATTATGAATTATGGTACTATTTAAGTAGTTTACAAATATAAAAAAATTCATTTTTAAATTTTTAAGATTTCATGAGCAAATTTTTGGTCAAATTTAAACTGTTTGACTCTCGAAAAACAAAATATATCACATAAATTGAGACAAAAAGGTATATTTTATTACTATTCTCAAAAATTTCATGGGACAAAAATCTAAAATAAAAAGGTGGACATATTATAAATTTAAAGATAAGTACTTCAATAAATTCTAAGTTTAATTTTGAATATATTTCTTTCAGAATCCCTTGATGGTGTTTCCTCCCATAACCGTGAGGGATC